CGCAGGCTGAGTCCCCCAGCGGCGCGGTCGCGGGCCGGGAGCCATCTTTCCCTGTACATCTCTGTGCCTTGTGGCGCTGCTCTTCTCCTCTGTCGTTGGCCGCCAAGGTCCCGTGCCCTTGCCCCATGCCCTCGTGTGCTCTGGGAGACCGCGAGGTCCCAGTCCCGCAGGGGACAGAATGACCTTCTGGCCGGCGGAGTCCCGGGAATTGTTTCCCGCAGACAGCTCTGGCTCCTCTCCATCCCGGCGAACAGAGCGAGCACAGACTGCGGCAAGGGGACTTGAGGAAAAAGCCGAGCTAGGAAGGTGACGAGCGAGATGAGAACCCTAGGAGGCCGTCACTGCCGAGCCCTGGAATCCTCGCAGCACAGGGCCGGTGTGGGAGCCAGGAAGAGGGGCCGGTACTACAATAGGGGATAGAGCAAGGAGAGAACCGAGGTGCCCTGCCCAGTGTCTTCTCCCCGGGACGCCGAGTCATTCTGCGTGTACCTGTCCTCAGGCCTGAGCTCTGGCAGGCCCCTTCTGTTGGCCAGCTACCTTGCATTTGGGGGTGCACGGGGTAGGAGGTACGTGATTCAGCGAGGCTGCCCACCCTCTGACCTGGGCAGTGTGTGCAGGCGAAGTGGCTCACCGCAATCCTGGGCCTGACGGTGGAGCACACGTTAGCAAAGCAGAAGCAGCGGGGTCTGTTCACTCGCCAGTTTGGACGTGGCCCTGAAAATCCTTTTTGTAACAGCAGTAAAGGAAGAGTACTGTTAGAACACCACCCTCTAGGACACAGTGTCCTAACTTCTCCTTCTCCCACCAAAGGTAGAAGCCGGTCCAGAAAAGAGCATGGACAGACGTGCGGGCCTCTGCGGCACTCAGGAATAAATGCCTCGTGGAGGCAGCCGGAGTGGGTCGTGGGGAGAGGAAGGGGACAGTTCCCACAGCAACCATAGAAATGAGGCTTTGAACTAGCATCAGTCTCAACTTAGGGGTCAGATGCAGTTAGCCACAAGAGTTGGTTTCATCAAGTCTAACAAAGAGGTTAGACAATAGATCTGAGTTATGTACAAGGGATTGCACACATCAGGAGAAGTTAGGGGCAGGAATTCAGGGCTGCTATCTCAGGTTCTGCTAGGGTTGGGTTTTATTCATTGCAGTTGCAAAGGCAGACTGTGATAGTACTCAAGCCACATAGGTGTGGGAATGGTATTCAGCAGGCCTTTTGCCAAAGGCAGACAATGTCACAGAAAGACTATCTATAGATGTCTTTTTATTATCCTCCTCTTCCCTTGGTTAAGAGTACCTCAGCCTCTCAGCCAGTTGTGGTGGCACACACCTGTAATCCCAGCACTGAGGAGGCTGAGGCAGGAGGATCGCTGAGGTTTTGAGGCCAGCCTGCTTCATAGTTCCAGCACTGAGGAGGCTGAGGCAGGAGGATCGCTGTGAGTTTGAGGCCAGCCTGGGCTACATAGTGAAAATTAGCCCGAACTACATAGTAAGACCTTGTCTCAAATACAAAAACAAAAGAACACTGTGGATGTTATCATCTATGCTCCAGAGTTTTACAGTTTAAGACAGAAAGCACTGATGCATATATGTACAAGACATGGAAAGCTGAATAAAACATTTAAGAAATATATACCATATTTGTGTGTGGGTGTGGTACAGGGGGTTGAACCTGGGGTTCTCACACTGAACCTCATCCCTGGCAACCCCTTTTTATTTATTTATTTATTTTAAATTTTGAGGCATGATCTTAAATTTCCCAGGCTGGGCTTGAACTTCTGCTCCTCTTTCCTCAGCCTCCCAGAGTGCTGGGATTACAGGTGTGCAATAGCACACACAGTTTATAATAGTTTTTTTAAAATCTGGGAACAGTTGAGATAGGGTCTCACTATGTAATCCAGGATGGCCTTGAACTCACAGTGACCCTCCTTCCTCGGCTTCCTGGGTGCAGGGAATATAGATGTGCACCACCATACCTGGCTTTAATAGGTTTTTGTACAATAGAGGTTTTTAAACCTATTTTGTGTTTAAGAATAGTGTGCTGTTGCAGAAGCCCAGTTAAAAATATGTTATTCTGGGGGTTCACAGGTGAGCTGCAGTGTGTGTGCAAGATATGTGTAGTCGTGTGAGGTGCCTAGATGGAACCCAGGCCAGTGTTTCATTTAACTGTGCTCATCTTAAATTATATGGGGGGTGAGGGCAGCACCGTGCTCCTTTGCATGGGAACAGGCTCCATCAGATCTGAGTCAGCTCGGGTACTGTATCAGGGAAAGATGCTGGCTCCTGTTTTATTTCTAGTCTGCTGAGTATCGTTGGTTTTCCTGGGGTCTGCGCTCACATGGCAGAACTTGCACATTCTCTGCTGAGGGATGGTCTTACACCCGACTCTCCCAGGGAGCTGCTGTGGCCCAGGCTCCCCCACCTGTGCGCAGTTCTGCTCACGCAGTGTTCTGTGTGCCAACAGAGCGTGTGGTTGCAGACTGCTGTGTCAGAGGCTCATCCTCGGCTTTTGGGGAAAACACTATGATTGTAATACACAGCAGCAGTCCCAGGGTCACCTTTTAGCATGGACAGTTGGTTTATCTCAGATGGCCTGGAGAAAAATAACCTCTAAAAATGGCACTAAGTAAAACAATCTCTAAAAAGATTGAGATGGAGGAAAACTCTGCACTTGTCACCATGTCTTGCCCCCAGTGGAGGCCCCTGATAAATGTGTGTTAAATACTTTTCCTAATTATTATTTGTACACATTAAGTAAATGGGTAGAGCAAACGTACTGGATTTAGCTTCTTCCTGCAGACGATGGTAAAAATTCCCATTTTTCTTTCTCCTTCCCCACATTCTTTTTATTTATTTATTTATTTTAGGGTGTTTTTTTTGGAGACAGGGTCTCACTATGTAGTTGAGACTGACCTGGAACTCACTATGTAGCCCATGCTGGTCTCGAACTCACAGTGCTGCTCCTGCATCAGCCTCCCAAGTGCTGGGATTTCAGGCGTGCGTCACCATGCCTGGCCTCCCACATTCTTTTTTATTAAAGAAAGTGATTCTCAAATGTGAAGATGCAGCAACTGTGGATATCATATTCCTTTACTCTTCCATTAGCCCGAGAGATGGAAGGCAGTGTTTGGCTCTTGCCCCTGACATTGCCCTCTCCTTCAATCTGAAAAGAGCTGCCTTTTGCTTTGGGCACCCCTAAGGATTCTCCCTGAGATGGCAGAGGTGATGACATTAACAGAACCCAAACCTAAGTGTATGGCATGACTTAGTTCTGCATCCATTACTAGGTGTGAGTCACAGTTTGCATGTTTTCCAAGAGGATTCATATAATGGATTTATTCATTCAAGGAACATCATTCCCTTTACAATATCACTAAATCAGGGCTGGGGATTTAGCTCCGTGGTGCCACTGCCCATCTTGCAAGTACAAGGTCCTGAGTTCGATCCCCAGTACCCCCTCCAAAAAAGTCACAAAATCACAAATACTTTTCCTTTCCTCTCTCATCAGTTCTTTGTTCTTTATGTTATGCCCCATCTCCCCTTCCCAACATTACCTCCTGCAGATACCCTGCATTAACCCTTTTACTCAAACAGTGAGACACTTGCCTTCCCCCAGTCGTGTGTGTGTGTGTGTGTGTGTGTGTGTGTGTGTGTGTGTTCTAAGGACTGGATTGAATCCAAGGCCTTTCCACTGAGCTGCATTCCTAGCCTTTTCTTTAATTTTTCTATGGTCTCGCCAAGTCATTAAGTTGTACAGGCTGGCCTCAAACCTGTGATCTTTGCCTCAGCTTCAGAGTGCTGGGATGACAGGTGAGTGCCTTCTTCTCTAGGAACTTAGGTGGTTGCCTTTACTTTCATGTTTTATTTAATTTTCAATAGAGTTTCACCTCATTCCACAAGGAGAGTAAGGAATAGGACTCAAACACAGTCCCTTTTGTGGAACCTCCCCATTTTCCAACTCAGTGAGCACACACACGTTGCTTCTGTTCTCTGTGCTTCAGTTTCCTCATCTGTAAAATTATACTAATATCTCACCGTATAGGGGTTATTTTGCGAGCTAAGTGGGATGGCCCCTTAAATACACTTAGTACAATTCCTGGGATTCATTTTCTCATTCACTCACTCGGTGTTATTCACTGAGCACTTAGTGTTTATCGAGCAAACGGACCCACAGAGATGCTTGTTCTTGTGGGGCTTGCATACTGGGGCGGGAGCAGACAATAAACGATGAATAGAAAAAGCAACTGGTAAAGTGTTCAGAAAGTAAGTTGTGCTATGGTAAAACAGAAGTAAGTGGGGCTGGGAACACTGGCAAGAGTGTGGAGACGGGAAAGGGTGGTGAGGGGCTAGAAACGCTTGCAGTTTTGGATCGGGCAGTTGAGGTGGGCACTACCGAGAAGAGACCGGAATGAAGGCTTGTGAAGCATGAGGGGCTCAGCTGCTGAGTATCTGGCGCAGTTCTTAGGCAGGGAGGGTATAGCAAGTGCAAAGTTTGTGGGGGTACATGGCATGTGAGAAACACCTGGAGCTGCTGGCCGTGGTGTGCATACCTGGAGTCCCAGCCTTTGCGAGGCTGAGGCAAGAGGATTGAAAAGTTCAAGCCCAACCTGGCCAATTTTAATGTCTTAAGCAAGACCCTGTCTCCAAAAAGGTGTGTTGGGTGGAGGGATTTGGCTCTTAGTCTGAGTGACGCGGGGAACAAGTGTGGG